GTAAAGAACACCGAAGTCTACTAGCTGAACAAGGATAGTATCTCTATTTGCAACATCAAAGGCTCCCTTAAGGTCGATGAAGGCTACGACACTCATGGGGGAGAGGCGAATATAGAGTTCCAGGAGACAGTGATGCTTACTCCATTGTGGTAGGAAACCATACAAGCTGGATGAGAGTTTGTCTTCCAACCGAAACATGAAACGGGCAAGGAGAATGCGTTCCATCACCTTGCTGAAGAGAAAGATGAGAGAAATGGGTCTGAATTTGGCAGTGCCACATTTTGGAATGGGTACTATTGTGCTGGACGTCCAAGCATTGGGTACATACCCCGTGCGGAGACAGAGATTACAAAACAGGAGGAGGGGTTTGCCGGAGACTTTCAGGAGCAAATGGAGAACCAAGTAGGTGACACAGGTCATCACAGGGGCAGTTGCCTTACCCCGTTTGAGGGCTCGCTGCACTTCCTCCTCGGCTTTCTCCACCGTATCCTCTTCATTAACCTTCAGCAACGCCGCCATGAGACGGAGGGCACGGAGATTTGACTGGGAGGATAGGGCCTCTTGAGTGTACTCCGGGAGATTACGGGCTTGGGATTGTTCTGACCATGTTTCGACAAGATCTTGTGTGTACTCTGCTGGACTCTGGTGAAGAGCACTAGAGAACTTTTTCTTGACTATTTTGTTGATGAGGTGCCACATAGCTCCCACGCAAGTCTGATGGTCAATGTTATCTGTGAGATTACGCCAGGATTCAGTCCGAACACATTGAAGACGGTCAAGGGTTGGTTCACCTTGGAATGAGATACCATCCTCCATCGCCTTCTTTTCCGCCTGGAGGATAGGTTCATCAAGGGTCCAGGCGTAGGCTTCGGAGCGACGTTTGATGTGTAGCCGAGAGACGTAGTGACTGTGGATGTTATGTGTGTAGTTCTCCAAGGAGGAGTATAACTTCTCCGGCGACTTTAAATCGAATGTGGGTAGAAGATTAGACATGTACAAGATGTAGGTAGGACAGCACTTCGGAGGGATGGTAATATGGTTACGACTGTGGATAGGGGGAGGTCCAGCTGGGAGTGAGTAATGGAAGCTGAGGGCGACGTGGTCAGAGAAGAGGGTAGGGTGGATGAGGACCTTACATGGGGTGCCACTGGTCCAGAAGTAATGATGTGATCAAGGGTACCTCCACGAGAGTGAGTGGCACCAGCAGTATCCCAGCGAGACAGCTGGTGACGGCGGATGTACTCAAGGAGACGAATCCCATTTTGGTTGGGATTAAGAAAGAGGTCCCCAATCTCTGGTTGTCGAGCGTTGAAATCTCCCATGTACATCATGCTAGAGATCGGAGTAGTAGGGAGGACAGAGAGATTTATCCTGACAGGGACAGAGTAGACGTTGCATAGACGGATCTTGCCGTCACCCACTGCTATCTCAAGAAGCTGAAAGGTCATATTGTCATCTTCAGAGGAGCGAAGACGTCGATGTGGGATGGAGGAGCGGACGTATCTGATGAGACCATTCCTGACAAGACGAATATAGGGAGTGTAGTCAGTAAGCGGAGGAGCCTTCCCTCGAAATAGAGATCGAGCAGCAAAGGTTTCCTGGATGAATATAACATCTGGATGATGGTGATAAACATAACCCTTAAGTGCAGCGAGTTTCGTATCATTTCTGATTCCACAGGCATTCCATAAGATAATGTGAAGCAGTATCCGGTTATCGAACTTGACGTTTACCCTTCGAGAGCCAGTTGTGGAAGAGGAGGTGGTGCGGGCGTCGCTTTGTGGTGTGCCACGTGAGGGGGCAGGATACCAATGGTTCCCTCAAGGTGAGAGCGTCTAGCTTCAAAGTAAGGGTAGTGACAGAAGTGATGGCGACCTGTTGAATTTGTACAAGAAAGACGAGAGGGTTTTCAGTAGTGGTGTGCCTGGTTCCCAGGTCATCAATGCGAGCTTCATTGGCATCAAAACGTGCTGAAAGTGAGGTGTACCGAGACCTCAGAGAGTTGACAGCATTGGGGAGAACAAGAACTTTGACATAATCAGGATTAGTAGAGGTAACAGGTGGTGTGGCGTCCTGCGGCAAAGATGCGGGTACACTAGGACTCACCAGCGACACATAAGGCGACGACGTAATGACCTTACTAATCTTTAAATAGCACTGCAACGGTCGGTAGTCAGGTAAGAGGGTAAGGTGACCCAACCTTCTGACCTGACTACCTAATACCTGACCATTGTGGACCTGGTCTCACCCTCCTCTGTATATATACACCTTGTTTTGTACTTCTCTTTAGTCTGTACTCACCCCTGAAGATGTGAATTACACGAAAGCGCTTGGGAACTTCGTGTTTTCTTCTTTCCTTGTGGTTATCAGCATATACTTAGATCACGCGCACCTACAGTGATTTACTTGCATATATATATATATATATATATATATATATATATATATATATATATATATATATATATATATATATATATATATATATATATATATATATATATATATATATATATATATATATTAGGGTGGTCCTTGTTTTTCAACTTTGGAATTTTTTACCACAGACCCTGCTAAAAGTGTCCATTTAGGACAAAAACATTGTGTGTAGAGTTATTTTTAAATATATTTATATTTAGAGGTTGCTCAAAGCTGTCAAAAATTAAGTAATCGATGCAGTCGATTACTTTGTAGCCGATTACGCCCACCACTAGTGCGTCGCATTTGGCACGATTGTGGTGAGTTTTTGCTGGTAGTGATTGATGATTGGGGAAATTAGAAACAGTTCTGCAGAGTATTCTCATTATTAATTTATATTAATAGTTAGTTTCTTTATTCCTCAGGTCAAAATGGCTAATGCAGGAGTAAAAACACGAGAAAATGTGTATTTGATAAAGACATTATGTGATGACATTACAGAGGCTAAGTTACCTTCAAACAGGCAAGTGTTACAGTATTTTTTAAGCCTGCATCGCATACAGAAAAAAACCATCAGAGTGGTAGCTGGGGAAGTCACAGACAAAGTTCTTCAATTTTGGACAAAAGCAAACATTCCCACACACCACAAACTAGATTGTGTGAATCAAGTGCACAAAATGTTTGACAAGTGGAGTAGTTTGAAAAAGAACTCTTCAAGAAAGACAGAAACTCAAAAGCAGAAAGAGAAAGAGTTCACTGATACATTTGAAGATCTCTTTGACATTGCACATGTGAATGCTTTGAATATGATGACAGTTCAGGAGGATAAGGATTTCTTAATAGCGCAACGAGAAAAAGGGCGTCGTGGGGCAATGTCATCTCTTGACAAAGTATTCCTGAAGAGACAGAAACGATGAGAAAAAACTCAAGAAAGCAATGAAAAGGAAGTTGGCTGCAGACAATGCAGAGGAAGAAGCCAAAAAATGCCAGGCCATCGTTGTCTTGGACAGCAGTAGTACGTCTTCTTCTGAGGAATCCAACCCAGTTCCTGGCCCATCAGCACTTCAAACTCCACCTACTGTCAAGAAGCGTGGGCGAAAAGAAGTTCTAATTCCAGAAATTTCTGCAGCATTAGATCGGACCAAGTCCTCAGATAGAATGGCCATGCACATTGTCACCCAAACTGCTCGAAGTCTGGGCCATGATGTCAGTGAATTGATTCTGAATCGATCAAGCATCAGGAGGAAACGTCAGCATCATCGCAGTAGCAAGGCAGCTGAAATCCTTTCAAACTTCAAACCAGAGTCAGTTTTAATTGTTCACTGGGATGGTAAATTGATGCCTGATTTGACGGGGCATGGGGCCCCATGTTGACAGACTCCCAGTTCTTGTCTCAGGCAATGGCACCTCCCAACTTCTTGCTGTTCCAAAACTTCCCTCTGGTACCGGTGATGAACAAGCAAAAGCTGTTGTGAAGGCTTTGCAGCAATGGCACATTGCAGACATCATGCATGGCATGTGTTTTGATACAACAAGCTCAAATACTGGTCACTACAAGGGTGCGCGTGTCAAAATTGAGCAGTTGCTGGGTCGTGATTTGCTATATTTTGCCTGCCGCCACCATGTACTAGAACTTGTAGCTGGAGCTGCTTTTGAAGCTGTAATGGGGCACTCAGCTGATTTCTCCTTCTCTTGTGATTAGTTGATGATTTTGTTAACGGAGCGACGATTGGCCAACTAGCTCCTGCAATGCCTTCTACATTCAGACAAGAGAGCTGAATTTACAGGGTTAAACACAAGTGTTACAGACTGCTTACAGACCCGTAATTAAATATGCGAAATTTACGGGATTATAAGGAGTCTGTAAGTTATGGTACCGTATCTCTGCTACTGTACGTAACTGATGAGGTGTTTTGAAAATGCAGCGGCCCCTGGTGGCTAAGCAAAGCAGGAGGGGGCCAAGCTTCCCCGGGTGGCATATCCTAGGCGCTTAGCGCTGCCTGCCTTCAGGTCAGCAAGGGTGACAGGTTCAGAGTTCTCCTTAACTCCCCTGGATACCAAGACGGATACCAAGAGGTTATCTTTGTCAGGTCACCAGGTAAAGTGAGGTCGCCCTCTGTGGGTACATTTTGTGAGGTCTCCTCACCTGAGGTCGTGTAATTTACTCCGAAACGTACTACCCCTACTCTCAGCTGCCCTTTTAAACTATCATAGTCTGCCCTTCTGAAATCTGAGACTTTAATGGATTTTTCCTTGCCACTGACATTAAGTTCAACTTTGAATCTCTCTTCTTTGTGATCGTTGTAAGCTTATTCGTTCCCTACCTCGACATTACTACCGAGGTTTTCTCTGTTTGACAGAACTAAATGGAGTACATTATTACCCTGGGTGGGTTAGGCTATGTATTGACTTAGGAAACAGTCCTGAACTGTTTCAAGAAAATCCTCTTGGACTCTCGGACCTATTTACACTGCCCTGTGCAACATTTCTTGTAACTTCAGGGTTTAAAGCTCGTGAATGAGAACAAGCTATCAAATTTAAGATAGAAAAGGTGGGAACTGTGAATATCACTCTGTTTTCAGGTTCCACACATCAATAAGCATGACGCCTCAGGAGATCCACCAACTGGGCCTAAAGGAGGTAACCCGCATCGAGGGTGAGATGGCCAAGGTGAGTAATAGAGTCAAGCCTCTTGCGTATCCCACACCTCCAGCAAAGAGTAAATACAAGTAACGGGTATTACTCATTACTTGTTATTTACAAGTAATTAGTAACAACATGTTAATATCTGCAGAATATCTAATCAGACAGCTGGTTGAATAATAAAAAAAATACTTCTTAATATTTTTGTCAATCCTGATAGAATATGGTTTTGATGTGTTTTTTTATAGGCTTGTTGTCCATGATTGAAGATAAAGTGACTTCTCTTAACTTGACAGATCGTCTCAGAGTTGGGTTACACTTTATCGGTGTCAGAATTCTCAGACATGATAAAGAACAATTCTCGGTTTTACTACAACAATTCCGACGAACTGATGAAGGGCTTTGAGGACCTCGCGTACATCGTCATTCCTCCCAAGCTTCCTGAATTCTTCAGGAACATTCCGAAGGCAGAGCTGAAGTAAGAGAAAAACATTAGTAAGGGAGAGTGTGAGTTATTCAAAGAAGTGTTGATCATGATGGGCAGTTTCATAATATGTGTTATATTAAGCTATTACGATGGGTGGTCATATAGTTGATGGCGACCTGTGGTGTAATGGTCAGCATGATCGCCTCGCAAGCGAGTGAACCCCGGTTCTATCCATGTATCAACTCCTTGGCCCACCAAGTTACTGTGATATTGAGGAGGCATCTTGTGTCGTATACTTCCACCTGGCACTATGAATTTCTTTATTTGTGTAACCCTCTATTGTGAGGGTTTTATGGCAATCGGTACTAAATTTTGTCAAATCTGCAATTTTCACTGACGACGCACCTTAAACTCTCTCTCTCTGAAAAGAGACAAAATACAGCAAGTGAAATAAATACTCAAGAATTAGTTTTTTTTTTTTTACCAAAAAAGAATGCTATTGTACTAATTTAGCTATGATATTTTAAGCAATTGGAATGCCTTTTTACTAGCGAGATGTTATTTTTCAGGCTTGGATGGTGATTATGGAGAGTAGCACTGTCATAGATGAGGCACAATTTGTGGATTCAGGGGATAGTCATGACCGAAAATTGCGATATTTATTTACATTCCTTGCGAAATAACTAAAAAAAAAAAAAAAAAATTATTGTGTCCAAAACCAAATATCGTACTTCTAGCAAAATTACCCTTCCAATTCCAGCTATTTAAGATATTGGGAGATTCTATTATCTATTGTCTGGTACAGAATAAAGTGTGACCCCTCACCTGAAGGTACCATAGCGTACTACACTGCCGGAGCTTACGATGGGTCCCGCCCTGGTGTCTTCTTTGTCAACACCCACAACTATCAAAATCAGTAAGTCAAAGATTTATTTTCAAACAAAAGCTTAATATTTTATTATGATTACAAATTAGTTCAATGGTACATTGAAAATATTGCTTGAGGACTCACATCTGACAACGAAATTCTTGATAGAAGAACTCTTAGGAGATGGGGCACTATTCAATTATTTTTTCATACTTCTGTTATTGCTTAAAAATCAACCATCATACTCCACAAAAACTCATAAGACTGCATATAACCTATGTCTTTTTTTTTTGCTAGGCTCTCGCTTATCAGTAGGTATTTGATCATGTAAATTAAAAAATATATATATAATTTGCTATGCCATCACTCCTCTTTATCAAGAATCTGCCACTAGTCAAATAAGAGGTGAGATATGATCCTGAAAGCATAAAGAAAAAAGACCCTGCAATTAGTGGTCACAACAACAATCAGGATAAACACTATAATGTCTCTTATATTGTGTCCACTAGGTTCTTAATAAACCTCAGATTAACTCATATTGAGGAGGAATCATACACTGCATATTTTTTTAATACAGTATAATAAAATGAGGGAACGTATTTACAAAGACAAGTAAAATAACATATGAAATACAAACAACTAAAGCCTAAATTAACGTTATACTGTATATATATATATATATATATATATATATATATATATATATATATATATATATATATATATATATATATATTAACACCTGTTTTAATCCTCAGACCAACGTATGGGATGATGAGCTTATCCCTACACGAGGGCAACCCGGGACATCACTTTCAGCATTCACATATTATCGAGTCTCCCAACATACCCTTCTTCCGGAGGGTGTTGGAGGACCGTAAGTGTTGCCAGGCTCCCTCCAGGTTCCCCATGAACACTGCCTACTTAGAGGGCTGGGGCCTATACGTAGAGAATCTTGGCTTTGATATGGGATTATACGAGGATCTCTACGTCAGGTATGTATGTCTTAAAGACATCTTTTAAATGAAAATATATTCTTGAGGAGTTCTTGTTAGCTTTGTTGAAATTCCATTCTGACGTTTCTGCCAAACAGGGATAGGTTTTTGTTTTTATTGCTATAACTTAATGCAAACTAAATCGTACAAAGTAATATTCGTTCGTTTTCATTTAAGGCGTCGTTTATCTTCATAAGATAATAAAATTAAGGTTAAGTTATGTTAGGTTATGTACGAGGCTGTTCAAGTATACCTACTTGCATATCATTATTTATGGCCAATCAGATGTTTTTAGAAAATTCCATAAAATTTATTTTGGGTTATCTTGACCCAAATCTACCCTTAGATCTCTTGAGCCGGTTGTCAATTAATAACCACCACACACAGTAGTTCAAAAGCACGGTAAAATAGTTTGACCTGCCCTCAGGCGATGAAAGTTCCTAGTTCTATTCCCGGGCGATCCCCAGTTCACACATATGTAAATGTGATCCTAAGGGTGTTTCAGAAATACGTTTCATACTTCTGGGGGTGTATTCCCGAGACATCAAACAGAGTACCATTCTCATAACTGAAGGTTGGTGACCACAGTCCTTTACTCTAAACTCCTCGGGCTGTTTGTACCAATCCTCCAAAGTTTTGTATCTCTCTGGGGACCAGTTTTTAATTTCATTCGTCCATCCCAATCTCTGCCTTCCCACCCGCAACTTCTCCCATTAACATTTCTGTTATTATCCTCATCCTTAATTATATGGCCAAAGTATCGCATTTTTCGTTTGCTGTGCATTTCAAGTGTTAGTCTTGAGGTATTTGCTAATCTTAGTACTTCTTCATTTGTTTTCCTGTCAATGTAGCTTATTCTTACCATTAGCCTATAACGCATTTCATTAAAGGCCTCCAACCTCTTTCTGGTGTCTGCTGAAAGTGTCCACGCTTCTAACCCATACACCATTTCTTGCAATATAAAGCCTTTCAGCAGCCTTTTTCTCAAATTTGAAGTTAATTTCCCTTTTCATTGGGTCTTTTAGAATATTACATGTTGTTTTTGCTTGCCTTATTCTTGTTTTGATTTCTTCCATACATCTACAATCACAGCTAATGTTGCTTTCCAAGTACACACACTTTTGCACCTGTTTAAGTTCCCTGTTGCCTACCATAATTTTTATTTTAATCTGTATAGCTTTAACTCATTAGCCTTTTTTTTACCGTTTTCCACTAATCTGTTAACGAGTTTTTATGATCCTCTTCTCTATCTGTGATGAAAGCAATATCACCTGCACAGTGTATTTTTATAACACTTTACAGCATTATTAACTTCTAGTCACTCATTATCACTTAAAAGTTCTCTCATTAAGAATTCTGAATAGACATTATACAGCGTTGGAGATAGAACCCAATCTAGTCTTACTCCCTGTCTAACTGTGAATCAATTATTAAGTTCATTATTTACTTAAACTGCAGCTTCCTGTTGCCAGTAAAGATTCTTTAAAATTTTAATATCTCCTTCATTAATGCCATTTTTTTCCGAAATTTCTATAAGTTTATTGTGATTTACCTTATCAAAAACTTTTCAAAATTGTTTTGCCTTATCAATAATAAGTAAAAGGGCTCTAACGGCACACAGAATTAAACACTTTTTCCTGGTATTTACTAGCCCTTGATAATTTATCCCTAATGTAAATATAAATAATAATGGCAATCTTAATTTAGAATATAACTATAATTAGCCTATAATAAAACCTTATATGAACAATTGAGCAACAAATGAATAGTGAAAAACCTTCCTGTATATACAGTACAGTAGGTCCTTGTAGAATCCCCACTGCACCATCTCATTTCTACGTCAGAACTGACGGTTCCACACCTCGGAGAAGGCCATTTAGCCCAACACAGGAAGTTATTTTCCACATAATTAAAAATGCACATTTATATTATAATTGATAGTATAAATTATATCAAATATGAAGCAGTACTTTCAAAAATACAATTATGATAATTAAACAATTAATGTACGTACTGTGAAATTAACCCACCAAAAGAAAATGGGAACTCTGCCACAGAAGCTCAACCTAAATCATTCATTTCCCATAACACCCCCTCCTTAAAATATAAACACTAGGGTTTTTAAATAAATTGTTTACATGTCATCTGTATAAATACAAATAGTTACCTAACTGATAATATAATTCAACAAATCAACAATTAACATTTGAGCACAGTTCAACGCTTTACATCAGATTTATAACATTGAAGGCACTGGACAACTCTTTCCTCAGGCAAATGCATCTTGCAGCGAAGTTGTGGCTGTAGGATGAATCTCCTTAGACAGACACTTGTTGTAAACACGGTGTTGGTTTGCCACATTTTACCCACATAATGATTTTGTCCATTGTTGACTGTACACCCGGAGAAGATAACATCACTGCAGTTCCACGTCATAAGTGACACTGGCCTGGAACAAGGAATTTAATTTTGTGGTCGGGACAGTGAATCCGCATTCAGTTTCTCACTTCATTTAATATGCTTAATGTCTAATTTGTATGGTTGCAATGCCAGACACCATCTAGTCAGCCTCTGATTTTGTTTCTCATTCGAGTCACGAAAGTTAAAGGATTATGGTCACTGAAAACAGTAATCTCCTGATTGATGCAGCCTAGATACATCAAATTTTTCTTGAGTACAGGATTAGTCACCAAGATCAATTTTACCTTATCAAAAGCTTCCTGACATTTCTCTGTCCATATGAATTCCTTCTTTGGACTGCCAAATCAGTCAGACGACTCACTACTTCAGAGAAATTTGGGCAAAAGCGAAGGTAGCCACCCAAAAATCTTTGAATTGCCTTGTGGTTCGTACGATCACGCAAGCTACAAATGGCATCTATCTTCAGAGAAATAGAAGCTACTAGTCCACCTTCAATCTCATGACCAAGAATGTGAGTCGGGCCTGAGCAAATTCACTTTTTACTAAGTTAACTGTGAGGTGGGCCTCGTGAATACACTTGATGATTATTCGGGAGTAGTTACATGGCATTTCAATTATCAGAAGGCACAATGATATCAGAAATCACACATGATATTCATCTCTGATAGATACTTAGGGCATTACATAAACCAAACGGCATTACAGTATATTCATATAGACCATCCGGGGTTAAAAACGCACTTATGGTCTTGGCACGTTTACTCAAAGGGACTTGATAGTAGCCTTTTAAAAGATTTACTTCGGTCATGAAAGAAACATTGCCTACAGAGTCAATAATGTCATAAATTTGAGGAATAGGAAATGAGTCTGCCCTGGTCAGAGCATTAACACGACAATAATCCGTGCACATGGGCAGTTGCTCATGCTTACGTCAGGCTTTGGTACTAGCGGCCGGAGTTAAAAAAAAAAAAAGAGTCCTGAAAGACACCGCAGTACAGAACTTGACGGGGTGGTGTGGCGGTAAAATTAACTAATTCCAACATTATTAATTAATTTTATTGGAATTATTTAATATTACCACCACACCACCCCATGAAATAATGTACTGCAGTGTCCTTAAAGACTCATCTTCTTTTAAAACTCGGATTGAAACACGACAACCCTCTTCAACGGAAGAGGGTGTTTAAAACTCCGGGCGTAAGACACAATGCAAAACTCATTCACTATTACAATGCTCAACTAAATCATGTTGCACTATACATTCAAATTTTTAAGAATCTGCTGTTTTATAGGTAACACACGATATGGAGCTCGCCTTACAGGACTAGCATTATTCACTAACACAATAGCACCCCCCCCCCATTGACTGTGGTTCCCTCTATCGGTGTGGCGAGGAACCAGGGTGTCATTTTGGCCAAGAAATTCCTGTTGTCAGTATCATTCATGACGTAGTTAATCTGACATTACAGTATAATCGCTTAAATGAGTATATATTTCAAGGATTTAGTAACACCTGTTGTAGGAGGTAAGAAGAAATATGTAATAATTATTTGAGCAATATTCGACCAGAAACGTGATGTGGTTAACATATACTCGTATACAATATTATTTGAATTTCAAAACAAGGAGACCCGTAACTGCTACTTCTAATTTTTGGGCTGGAATGACAATTGGAGAAATTACTCATGTAAAACCGTTCACGGGTATTATATCATAAGCAGCGCTCTTAATTTCCCTTCTCTAACGTCTGTGGGGGGTTTAAGGTCCTGTGTGTATCGACAAGTTGTGTAGAAGTGACTAAGCGATCGTCTGTGGGGTTGGGTGAAACGAGGAGTGAGGGAGAAGGAGGAATGAGAGAGGGGGAGGGGGAGAAGGAAGAGGAGGTGGAGAAGCCGAAAGTTAATTGTTCAGTAAGCCTAAGGCGAAACGTGCTACTACATTAATCACCATCTAAATATTCTTATTTTTTCTATAGTAATAGTGATCTTTCATAAGACACAAAGCTGAAGCTTGTTCTTGTCGCCTGAACTACCCTATCCAATTGTGTTCGACTGTTACGACAGTCAGATATCACCAGTTTCTAACAAATGGTTTCAGTTAATTGCAATTTGTATATAATTTTTCCTTGAGTGTGTATTTGCATGCGTAATTTGTGAAGGGATTAGCAACCTGAGTTTGTCAGATTTTGATAGTTTACACCACACTCAAGCTAAGTAAACCCAATCTGTTCAATTTCCTTAAGTTCCTACTCATGAAAGTTATCTTTTCTACATCACTATCGGTTACCCATTTCCATTACAAGATTTATTTTTAGTGTTCATTCGTTCAATGATGAAAGGGTAAAATTCATATAAATGATGATGATTCAACATACATGACGGAAAACAGAAAACATTTTCATAAACAATCGTGTTGCTACACCTCTTTACTTCACACACACACACACACACACACACACACACACACATATATATATATATATATATATATATATATATATATATATATATATATATATATGTGCAAGTAAATCACTGTAGTTGCGCGTGATCCAGGTATATGCTGATAACCACAAGGTT